AAAAAAAAGAAAAAAGAAAACAAACCATCTGGTTGTTGACCTCTGTTTTGTAGCTATACACAGGATGTCTTGACGTCACCATGTAGCTGTTTCTGGAATGTAGCCCATGCACAACAAAGAAAACAACAAGGAAACTAAAAGAAATGTAGGAAAGAGATTCAACAAAGCAAAGGTTTGTGCTCATTTTGGTTTTTACCAAATGCCAGTGAAGACCGAAACTTGACATGAGCTCTGCAGACTGGAGTAGATCATGAGGATCCTTTACACACCAGTAGATTGAGGCAAAAATCATTATGAATCAAATCATTTTGATTCGAAAGTCAATTGACTTCTTGCACATTTCGATCATAACGCATGCACACATGTGGTTTTCACGCACGGGGATCATTTGCTGTACGAGTTGAGTGTTTACATTCCTTCCAACAATAGCAATGGGGAAAAGTGACTTTTGTAGTGTGTATAATTGTTCGAGGCAACGTGACTGMGTGAAAGAGAAAGGAGAAGCTTGCTCCTTTTACCAAATCCCTCTAAGAAAGTCGAGCAAATAAGCTGCTACAAGAAGAAAGCTGTGKCTCAATGCGCTTCGCTGTCACAACTTCACTCTGACGAAAACCAGTAACGTGCGTGATCATGAATAAATAATAAACACCAAGTCAGACTAAAGTTCAGCAAGTTTTGGTGTGAGATGTTCTATAGCATTGACACAAACGCTTGATTCTGACTCTTGAGTCAAGCATTTATGAAAACAAGACAACTAACTTTACCCTGATGGGCGTTCACAGAAGGCCTTGAAGGATTTCACCACTTTCAGTTAGCACAATGAACACTCCATARTTCTGTTGCTTCATGCTTTGTCTTTAGCATGTATGGCAACAGTAGCACAGACGCTATCGTCACCAAYGCCACAAACACCAACAATCTGAACATTGCCATCTTTCAAAAATGCGACAGCTCCCGCCGACTTAAACATCCTTGTTTTGGCGATGGTCTTCTTTGACTCTCAACAGTTGCTTCACAGTGACATCCTCTTGGAYCCATGGCACACCTTTCAGGGATTTTGTCCATTGGATGTCCAAAATTTTCCGGAACCACGCATCGACGTTACAGCTCGCCATCATCACCTCGCTCTTTCAAATTGCATTCCCCCCCGACTTCCGGTTTTTGCTGAAACGATAACTGTGGTGGCATTTCGCCATCCAATCAAAACGTTTGTTTCACGCGTGCTTTGTAATGTGCAAGAGGAGTATTTTGAACAGAATCGTGGCTCCCCAAAATTTTTGACTGAATCAAAAGGAATCGAATCGAATCATGATAGTAAAAGACCGAGCTCGTAGCCTGTTCACTGTGACACATGTAGCCAATCAGAAAGCCAGGTGACAGAAACATGGAGAGAAATCCAAAATACAGATGAATTGTCATGGCGCACCAGAGTTTTGTGAACATTGAAGATGTCTTTTTGTTTTGCTTATCGCCATTGCTTCCTCCTCGTCAGCCATGTTTGTTTACTCTGAACCCACGTTTGATCTTGAGAGGTTTCGCAATTTTTAACATCTGACAGTGAAACCTGCTGGATCTATTTGCTGTGTATGACTTTTTTTTTCATTCCTATTGTCACGTCTGGTGGGCT